TTTAGTGCCAATGTTTTCATCAGATTTTCATAAATTTTTGTTCAGATATTTTTGACTTTACATTTTATCTCTCTTTTCCAATATTTCTCTTCTTATCTCTAAGGCTAATAAGGGCTGTTTTGCGAAAATACTTCTACTCATTATTTAGCAATAACTTTTCACTTTCTATTAAGGCTGGTTCTAAACCAATTTATTTGTGAAAAAACGTATACCCACTATTTCATTATCCATTCTCGTGGTGCTCCATTAGGACTGACAAACAATGGGCATCTTACGAAACATAAATTTGACGACTCTAGGACGCTCCTCCGTACTTTCTTTAAAACAAACGACTGTCGTTTGTAGAATAAATAGCATTAGAGGGGTCACACTCTACTCCGCTAAATAAATTTTGAGGTGGGACAGAGAGAAAACTCCCACGGAAAGCACATAAAAGCGACAAATATCCATCCGGTCTCGAGTAAATCAGTGTCCCAGATTTCACTTGAAAGAGATAAACCTGAAAATTTCAGCAAATTTGTAAAGAAGAAAAAAGTATAGTGCCGATTCCCAATGGAAAATAAAATTTTGCTATTCTTGAAATATAGAAATTCGCAAGAATATCGTCTAATCCTAATGGCAGGTTTTACTTTGAAATACTTATTGAGGCTCTCGAAGTTTTATTAATAAAAACCTTTGTAATATTCTAAAGTGTATCTACAGATAATTAATCCAAGAATGATTTTCCTCTATGATATTTTGTTTAATTGTGATTGTAGAAATACTCAAAAAATAGAATACCCAAAAACGATAAATTTACTCCATTCAAACATTCCTCCCACAATACTTCTTACTGGCCCAATAAGACCCACTGTACTATAAGTGCAACTAGCTTTTTAACTAGATCTTTTTGCTCTGATCCTCATCATCATTATAACGTAAACACTTTTGCCCACTGCTGAAGGTAGAACTTTCTAACAATTCAGAGTATTGTCTTGGACGCCACTTTCTTATTCCATTCTCATGACACATAACTTTCTGTCTCAAGCTCGTAAACAACCAAACAGCTACTTTCGCTTTCGGACATATTAGGATGTGGATGGTTAATATAGGCCTAAGACTTGATTGATTTCTTGACCTTTCACTTTGAAAACTTGATGATTGTCATTCCTGAGGGGCCGAAATCAAACAAGCCCTCATTCATTCTCCAGTCCATTTTTGGGACGATCTTATCGGCAAATCAAAAATAAGCAATGCCAGGTTGACATGGTCCAAGTGTACTTGGATCAAGTAATCTCGGAAGCTGCGTGCCTCACTTTGACGATACTTGGATCGTATCAACTGTTCATCCAAGTCAAGTTGGATAGGTCTTTAGTAAGTAGGCAAGCTGCCATCTTAATTGGTCCAAGTTCTCATCCAAGTGCACTTGGAGCAAGCACTTCGTTAAGACTTTTGCTGTTCATATTCATACCCATCTAGTATAGCTCTCAGTTGAACACCGCATTCAATTTAAAATTTGTTTTTCCATATCATGAAGAGCTCGCAGTGATATTGTATATAACAGTAAGAGGATCTACTGCCTGATAGTTGCTAGGAGCTTTATACATATCAATGTGTGACTTGGATTCAAATCGACGAATAATAATGTAAAGGAATTGTAATAGGTTCCTTACAAGTTCTTCAATAACTTTTTTATTACTTGTCCTTTTCCAACAGTAGTGTTATAGAAATGCAGGTCTTCTGTCAATCCCCTCTTCCATATTGTGATCCTCGAGAAAAGTACCTTTGTACTACAGGTCTATAACTTCTTGTTCTGTTGATAGTGGTCTTGTATTTTATGCAGCCATAGTGAAACATTTTGACGTTTTTGGTGGAACCAACTTAATCGGCACGATCTATTTCTCTGTTTCAACCTCATTAGTAGCTGGAGATCCACAAGGGACTCTGTTGCATATTGAGAGCGTTTCATCAAGTGCGGAGCCTTGATGTCAATAATTTCCATGAACATAAGTGGGAATTAAAACTTTTCTACTCGAACAAAAAGTAAACCAAATAATAACCATAAATTACCACCCAAAAAAAACTCTTTAATTTCGTATTAAATAGGCCATCTGTTGCCCTCGTTCATTCATTTTGATAGTCCAGACCCAGGCGACGTCCGTATATGCAAATGTTTGCACTACATAAAAGTTTTTTGTAATTTTTAACTGTATAATGCTATGCGACATGGACCGAGGAAAGCCGTCGTATTATTTTATTTGAAGGTTCGTTTCCGCAAAATAAAAATGCAGAGAGAACTTAAATTTTCATTGTTATTGTTGCCTAATGTCACATTTCGAATGGCATTTTTAATGAACTACTGACACGCTTGTTTCTATTATTCACCGCGTAGTAACTTCTAGGCGAACTTATTGCTTATAGCATTTTCCGAGGAGAATCAGGAAAAAGATAATAATCTACACGTACAAAGTAAACTATATGTATGCAAAATAGAGACCATGTTATTGAGGAATGCCACAAAAAGGACAAGTAAAATAGGGCAGGACTTTTCTAAATAGATGGAACCAGTTTTAAATGAAGTAACTTTTTAACGTAGGTATTCTAATTTTTTATCCCAAAAACGATGAAAACATGAGTAGGATGTTTCTCGAATATTTTTCCAGAATAATCCAGAACAGTTGCAAAACGTTGCCAGAAAGCTTGTACGATTTGTACGATCATGCACAAAATAAATAATGGAATCGCTGATAATTAAATTTCCAATGTTTCATTCATTTTTGCTGCAAAATGCGAAGGACTAAATATTAAAGCCAGTTTTCACATTGTTGTATCTATTGTTTGATAATTGTATGTCCTGGTATGGTGGTTCAAAAGTCAAAAACCCTCAATTAGTAAAAATTGACCATATTGATGGTTACTAATTTACAGGCATGTTATGCGTGAACAACATATTGCAGAAGTTCCATTAATGATCTTTTTCTCTACTTCTAGCGGAACAAATGCAAATGAACGAATTTTTTAAAATATTTTTCTATAGGGTTGGTAATTATTTCAAAAACCAAATTTTTTTCACAAAAAAAATCCATTTCGGAAAAGTCACATTCAAGGGCCAGACTTTGGCTACGACATCGGTCCTATAATTGAACAAAAGGGCAATTGGAAAAGGGATGGTCAGGCAATCCACGGTTGTGAGCGAAGATTTAAATTAATTATCGCTTTCTTAATTCGGTTAGAGCATGAAGTTAGTGCAATATATTTTTCATAGATTTTTAAAACAAAAAAAGAAGCTAGTTCTTATGTGTTCAGTTGATAAAGTTACATGTTCATTATATTCGATATGTTACATAACAGCGTACTAATTGACGATTCCACCAACTATTTTGGGCAAGCCGTAATGATGAGTATTCCTTAAAATGACAGTCTGCCATGGACAAAGGTGAGTTTAACACGTTCCCTGCTAACGTGCGTCATGACAGATTTAGTAACTCTGTTAGTGCCGAAGAACCTGATTTTATAGAACTTGTTTTGGTCATTTTGACCGATCCGGCAGAGAACGTGTTGAGGAATACTTATCGTTGATGCTTTCCTAAAATAGTTGGTGGAAACGGCCATTATTCACTTGCCAAACTTAGGGAAGCCTCCATAGTTGCTATTTTTGAAAAGGGAGACAAGGCTCAATATGTGGAAAATACAGAGGAATATCTTCACTTTCTGTTGCGGGAAATATACTTGCCCGGATATCAACAAATCGTCTAATCGCAACTGCCGAGCAGAACCTCCCAAAGACACAGTGTGGCTTTAGACCCAACCGGGATACAGCTGACATGATTTTCATTGAAGAAAAAATGCAAGAGAAATCCAGAGGACAAAATCTCTCTCATGCATAGCCTTCGTATAGGTATTTAGTGCGAGCATTTGAGTCGGTGAACACAGAAGCTCATTGGAAAATATTGGCAAAGGTTGGTGTCCGCGAAATTACATCCAGATACTCCGCCTGCTGCATGATAATATAAATGCAACTTACCAAAGCAACGATGAACAAGGAGAGTCCTTTCAAATAATAACAGGCGTTAAAGAGGGCTGTGTTATTGTACCCACTTTATTTTCTCTATTTCTAGGATCCATACTTCACCTTGTCGACGATCACCTGCCGTCAGAAATAGAAATGCTGTACATATTTGATGGCGGCTTATTCAATCTTACGAGCCAAGATGACAGTATATATGATAGCGTCGTGATGGCCAATACAGAGAAAGATCTCCAGGCAATTAATAATGCATTCAATCAGGAATACAGGAGAATCGGCCTAGAGGTCAACTTTAACAAGACACACAATCTGCACCGCCACCAACCCGCACCGAGCACTTATCCCCAAGGCCCAAATATAACTATAAATGACCATTATTTGCAGAACGTAGCACACTACCCATACTTTGGGGGCCATGTGTCAGCAAATGCAACCATTCATGCTGAAATCCAACATCGCTTGAAGTGTGCTAGCGCGGCGCTCGGGCGACTTCTAGAGAGAGTCTTCAACAATCACGACATCAGCGCTGAGACCAAACTTTACGTCTACAATGCAGTTCTAATATCAATTCTAACATTGTAAGGTTAGAGTGTCGTGGATGAAGTCGATTTTGTTTACGTGCGAAAAAGTGGAATAAACTTGAGACATACCAACTGAAAAGACTCTGTTACAATCAAAAAACATTTGAAAAACGAATCCCTTGTTTGAAAAGCATTGAACTAGTGTTAAAATTGTGTTTCTAGTGATAAAATTCCAAAATACAAAAACTTCATAACATAACCCATAAAACTCAGCATGACCGAACTGAAATGTTCGAAATGCAAAGAAGACTGCTTCTTTATAGACACCACAAGGTCAAAAGAAATTAAACAGCTTTTTGGCTGTGCTTGTGACATGTGCAAGAATATTTTTTGCAAAAATTGCTGCGACTTTGGCTCAAATGAGATTCGAGTACTGTGCTCAACCCGCAACAGCCTTAAATTCTTCTGTTCAGACTGTCTGGATTTATTCAGCACTACAGCAAAACACCTACCACAAATGAATAACAGGATTAATATCCGGGAGAAGGTAACCAGGAAACTGAAAGAAAACGTAGAAAATAGCGCACCATCCTATGCCCAAGTAGTTGCAGACACTGCAAACCTAAAAAACCAGGTGGAAAAACTAAATAACGAGGTAAATGCACAGAAGGCTGAACCAAAAGCTCCTACAACTGAGAACATGTCTATTGAACCGGCTTTGTGTGAAATGGCTGAACGAGAGAGGCGAGCATCCAATATTTGACTTTTTGGAATCAAAGAAGGCAGCTCAGAGCAAGGTGAATATGACCACGACCTAAACAAAGCAGTAACTATGGTCAAAAAAATTAAAAACAACATTGAAAAACACGAAATCAAAGTTTATCGGCTTGGAGCACCCGCTCAAGGCAAAGTTAGGCCAATCCGGATAATAACTTCTTCACCTACGGTAGCTAGGGAAATTTTAAGAAACAAAAATGAAGAGAATATATAATTCCAAGCGGATCAAACACCTCTGCAGAGAATACACCTAAAAGCTGTTCTTAAAGATCTCGACGAACGTAAGTCAAAGGGGGAAGTAAACATAAGGCTCAGATATATTATTAATGTACCAAGAATAGTTTCTTCTCACAACGAGGAAAATAAAGATTCAAAAAACCAATTGAATCATTTATTCAGGTTTCCTTTTGGTATAGTAATCTATGCTCTATGGTAAATAAACTTGACGAACTGAAAGTTAGCATACAACTCACAGATCCAACTATCATCTTGATTACCGAAACATTGTTGACCAATCAAATACCCGATAGCATTGTGCACATACCAAGCTATATGATGTTCCGCAAAGATAAAGGAACGCAAGGAGGAGGTATTTGTGTGTATGTCAAAAGCAACATTGCCGGGCACAATAGGTACACATGCTATTATCAGTCAACAATTCTACACGTCAGCTACAGTTGAATCACTATGGGTCAAAATTAAGCTAAGCAAAATCAAACTTTTGGTTGCATGTATTTATAGACCAAAGCAAAAGACCACAGAAGAACAAAACCGTGCTCTTATGCAGACTATCGAGAAAGCTATGGCCCTTAAAGAGCCTGTCTATATCATGGGAGATTTCAATTACCTAGAAATCAACTGGAAAGCCTTGGAAGTGCACCCCCACAACCAGTGCAGCCATGACTTCTTGGAAAGCTACAAGAACCACCGTGGACATCAACTTGTAAACTTTCCAACTAGGTTCAAAAATGACGAAATAACACTCTTGGACTTACTAATAGTTAATGAGAAGAAACTTGTATTTGACATACAACATCATGGACTACTGGTGATCACATAGTCCTCACAACCAAATCGCAGCTCCAGATTACTGCACAGCCAACACACAAAGTCTACAAGAGGCAATTCTGGAAAGCCGATTATGAAGCAGTGAGAAATAGCCTACAGCAACATTTACAGCAAGTAACAAATCCAATGACTACTGAGAAGTTTCATGAGGTATTGACTATAGCAATAACCACCTACATTCCAATCAGACCTCAAAAAATAAATACACACAAACCATGGCTGACCAGGGAAGTCTTCAAAGAGATCCAAAGAAAATAAGACTATTGGCATACATATAGAAGTAACAAATCAGAAGCAAGCTACCAAAAATACCAGCAACAAAGCAACAAGACAAGGCATGCATAGCATCAGCTAGAAAAACCTATGAACATAACCTATTGGATAATAGTGAACAATTCTACGCCTACATAAACCGCACCCTCAACACAAAACATCACAAATTTAGCCTAATTGATAAAATAACACAAGAACCACAAACATCAAATCAAGATATTGCAGAGTGTTTTGCAGAAGAGTTTGAGAAAGTTTTCACAGTGCTCAACTCGAATACGGTTCTGCCCACACTACCATATGCATATGCTATAACCGAGTTAAAAAATATCGTGTTCACTCCGGAAAAAGTTGAAACAGCAGTAAAATCACTTAAACTATCATCAAGTCCAGGGCTCGACGAAATCCCTCCTGTCTTCCTCAAGAACTATATCCAGGTGCTAAAAGGGCCACTAGCTGACATGCTTAATAACATAGCAAAAACAGGGGAATTCCCTGCAGCATGGAAAAAAGCAGTGGTGATGCCTATATAAAAAAGGAAATAAACAGCATCCAGAAAACTATCGACTTATTAATTTAACGAGTACACTGTATGGAGAAAATAATCGCAAAAGAGCTGACCCAATTTTCCATGGACACACGAGTCATACCAACTCAGCAGCACGGCTTTCTTTCCGGGAAATCGACGATTACAAATCTCCTAACAAGACTCAACCACTGGACACTGTCAGATGACAACCACGAACCAATCGATTTGATTTATCTTGACTTCCAAAAAGCATTTGACAAAATACGAACACAGTTTCTAATCCATAAAGTCGAACACGTCGGAGTTAGGGGCAATTTACTCCAGTTGATCAAAGGATTCCTCATAGGAAGAACTTTTCAGGTGCGTGTGGATCCAACACTTTCAAAAGAGCACAGAGTGCATAGTGGAGTACCACAGGGATCAGTTCTCGGTCCTCTACTCTTTTTTGCCTATTTAAGCCTATTCAATGATTTACCTCATACAAAAATCATTTAAAGACCTCTCCAAAGATATGATACTAAAGCTGAATAAATCATATGTCAGGCCAAGAGTGGAATATGCACAAACTATTTGGAATCCTTACTATGCTAAAGACATAGAGCAAATTGAGAGAGTACAACGAAGAATAACTAAGCTGCCTCCAGACCTTCATGAACTGCCCTATGAGGAACGATTAACCCAGCTAGACCTAACCATCCTAAAAGATAGAAGAATGAGGGGAGATCTCATTGAAACTTTTAAAATAATGAATAGGCACTGTGCATGCGACTTAAGAGAGATCTACCACCTCAACCAAAACACCAATCTCAGGGGACACAATCTAAAGCTTTCCAAGGAGAAATGTAACAAAATGTAACAAGCTAATGAGAAGAAACTTTCTAACAAATAGGGTGGTTAATATCTGGAACAGTCTTGGTAACAACACTGTCACGTCAACAACAAAGAACCAGTTCAAAAACCGTTTAGACCAAGAAATGAAGAACTAAAGCACAACGTTTTTTATGCACTATACCATATGAGGCAACTAAGTTTCAGGAGGACTATTAAGAGCGCAGAGGCTCTTTTGGCAAGTGCAATGCATGACTTTCCACAAATATCTAATCTTTAAACAACAACTCAAATAGATTCAGCAGTTTCATCGGATTTAGTCCGTCTACTGCAGATACCTATAATAATAATAATAATAATAATCATAATAATAATAATAATAACATGGCTGAGAAACATCGATCACCCACAGAAGACATATAAAAAGCCTAAAAAAAATACCGCCAGCGCTGCCTAAGAAGGAACCGGATTAAATAACAGGACCGACGAACGAACATTAGTGTTAACAGATTCTCTACAGTCAACTGAAAGAGGGAAAGAGTGATGCAGTCACAAGATCGAAAAGAGAGACCGCAAGAAGGAACGAGAGAACAGAGAAAGAGACAATGCTGTCAGAGGCTGGGTGTGCCAAGACTGTGGATGAGTGTGCTGCTCCAGAATTGTTTTATATAGCCACCAGAAAACACGCAATACGCATAGAATAGAAGATAATCATACTTGGTGTCCAGTGATCGATGATGATGATTTTGGGAATTTAAAGTATTTTAATGAGTAAAGAATTGTGTATGATATAGCTTGAAACACTCTTCGTTCGGGAGCAATCCCAAAGTGATGATCACGTGCAGATTTCCTGGCATAGATACCTTTATCAAGATTATATCCAGAAATGTTACAAAGCTTCTAAATTTTATATCCACTCCTGCTTTTCTTAAATTTTACATAAAAATCCAGAGATGCTTTTTCTGATGCAGTTCTGAGAAGCAAACTTCGTATTTATTGTATGAAGGTACAGTTTTCAGCCGGCTATATTTTCTGGGCCCTTCTATCCTTATCAACTATTTCCATGCAGAGAAATTATCTGGAAAACTAGTTACCATTTGTTCATCTTATCATTTGATGCTTTTCAAATTATGTAATTATGTCAGAACAATTTGTGATGTTGCATATTCTAAACCATTATGCATGGATACCATGATCACGCAAACAGAAAAATTCATAGGCGAAATCATATTTGTATAGTACAATGATCCAAACTGAAAAAATCGGAAAAATAATGTAAATTGATCTGGGATAGTTCTAGAAACTTGCAACAAACGCGAAGAGCCAGATCACTGTGTATGTATACATACTGGGATCTTGTCTGCTATTTGATAATAATTTTTTTTTTTTTTTTTTGCCTTGTGCCTTTATCCATAACATATTTTAGACCGATAAAATTCTGTCTGGCGGAAGATTCAGTATTCAAAGCATGGACTTGGCCTTTGAAAAACCGCATCCCGTTGACTTTTAATGTTATTTGATAGAAAAAGTGGTTTTTATGGCGTCTCGAACACTTTTTGTCAAATAAAAATACAAATAAAGTTACTTTTTCATGGGCGACCCGAAAAGATTTTCTTGGCTCCTTTGTAAAAAAAAAGTCGTTTTCCTCAGCCGCAAAGAAGCTGAATCGCAGATTTCGACTCGCATCATGTTGGATTTACAAGTTTTTGTTGGTATCAATGTTACGGCATTAAACTAAACTTTTTTTCAATAGCTATCAGAAGGTAGAAAGTTTCCTGCTGGTGGAACTGGCTTAGGTTCAAATTAGGAGCAAAATAAATATTGTGGCAGAAGTCAAAACTCTTGTGGTTGATTATGGGGTTTTAAATTTACTTAAATTACATATTATAGAAAAAATTAAATTCTTGCCATCGTGTTTCGGGTTCTATCAAAACATAAATAGGGTATCAGCACAATAATCGGCTCTTTTACAAACAATTTGCTTTCACATTACCAACTCTTCGAGTATGACATTAGGACATTTTTTTCTGTGGTTTTCCGAGGGTTGATTCACATCCTTAGCAGCTTTTTATAGAAATACTTCTGTTCACCCTAAACGTAATTATTTATCCTCGCTTCTGCTATCAATATCCTCAAAGAAGGTGGTTAAATTTTTAAAAATAATTTACTCGGCGCCTTGTGTTCTTGTTTATCATCCTTCCTAAGTAACCTTTTATTTGGCTTTCAGGGAAAGTGGCATCTTGTACACCAAGTCGTTCATCTTGTGGACGATCCAGTATCGACCTTCCCAC